TCGTGTGCATCCTCGTACGAACACCAGAGATTCAACGAGCTGCTGTCAGAACGCTGAGAGGAGAAAACCCACGGCTGACCTGAGCTCCAGCTAAACACTGAATTCAGGCTCTTGTGCTTCCTCTTGTGCTCGTTCCGTCCCTACAGACGGATCCTGTGTTACTTTATGAAGGCAGGTGTGAATATTCTGTGGTTCTTTGTGGTCAGTTTGTGTCTGAGCCACACTGAGGACGGCTGCTTCCTTTACCTGAACGTACCTGTACAGGTGGATGCACGGCCGGCTTACTGAGTTTTTAACAGGAAGCTGATTCAGTTCTTCTTGTTCACGGCTTTTAATTATAAATCTAAACCGTCCAGACTCATTTGTCCTTAACTTTTCTTTATCTAGTTCACTCCTGGTTCCTCTGTTCTCTGCTTTGCCTGTAAAACCCTTTAAATGAGACGAGCTGCTCAGAAACAAAGCTGCTCTCAGTCTGTTCTTGGTTTGTTTCTGTCAGAGTGAAAGCTCATTTCTCAGTTTGTGACCTGACGAACAGAAAGTGACGTTAGCTCTGCTGCTAAGGCGTTTGTGTGTCTGTGTGTTGTGTTGTGTGTTTGTGCCCCTCCCTCGTCTCCACCCAAACCACTGCTAACTGACACCGTCCACACGTTGGCCGAGCCCTGCTAGCCCTGCTAGCCCTGTTAGCCCTGTTAGCCCTGCTAGCCCTAATGCTAAGCCTAGCCCTGTTAGCCCTGCTAGCCCTGCTAGCCCTGTTAGCCCTGCTAGCCCTAATGCTAAGCCTAGCCCTGTTAGCCCTGCTAGCCCTGCTAGCCCTGTTAGCCCTGCTAGCCCTGTTAGCCCTGATGCTAAGCCTAGCCCTGTTAGCCCTGATGCTAAGCCGTCAGCGAGGCGGTCAGACCTGTTCAGACTCTCCTCTGCTGTTTGTGGTCAGTTGGAGGTTTTAACTGTTTCTGCTTCAACCTGAACATCAGCTGCTTTGATCAAACAGTGGGAACCAGTTCAACACCAGTAACACTCCCATTATTCAGTGTCCACAGTTTGTCACCTTCTCTGGCGTCTCCAGTCGCACATGGAATCACTATTATAATACTGGAAGCATTAGTAGAAGGATAGAAACAACTGTTATGATGTTAGAGGGCTGCAACCTGCCAAATGCTTCAGGCTTAAAAAGTCCAATGAAATGAACTAGTTTGTCTTTTTATGACAGTGGAGAGCCGGCAGTCATCGGTCTGGTTCACTGGAACCGTCGCTTTACTGTGAAACAAACGTGTACGGATGTGTTATCTATACATATATGTCATCGTTTTTATTTCTAATAATCTTTGTTATTACCAGTCAGATGACGAGTTGTTGCATCGAAATACCAGCCAAAATGTGCACCGACTAGTGTTTATGCTGTTTGGCAATAAAGTGGCTCTTCTATGATATTCTATTCTATTTTATTCTGTTTTATTCTGTTCTGTCTTATTTTATTTTATTTTATTTTATTTTATTTTATTTTATTTTATTTTATTCTATTCTAATGAAACAACAGAGAAGTTTATTAACAAATCACTGATCAAAGATATACTTTCTAAAACAGTTCAGACCAGTGAAGACCAGGTCCATGCACCAGAAGCTCCTGGACTGGATCCGGTTCCACGCCTTGGAGCTGCAGATCTTCCTCGCCGTGTTCTCGCTGCGGGTTCTTCTTTCAGCCGCCATGCGTCCGTGTGAAGGCGGTTATTCTGGTTTTGTAAGAGCAGCTTCAGTTGCTGCGTCACTCAGAACCTCGACCGCAGCAGCGCTGATCGATCAGCACAGAACCGGCAGCGAGCCTGTTACCAAAGCAAACCGCCGCAGGCAGGAAACCACACGGGATTACAGGCAGCGCTCGCCGCACGATAACGTACAGTAGCTCTACAGTTAGTCCTCAGCCTCCGTGATGAAGCGCCGCTCAGCTCTCGGTGCCATAAATAACCCACATGTCACACATTCACTCGGCTTCCAGCTTTCCGTGGACGTGCTGCTGATTGTTTTGATCCCGTCGAGATCATGAAAGTCTTCAAGTCTGTTTAAAATACAGATCAAGCCTGAGAACTAAAGTTATGTTCAGGAAGCAACGACTGACAACTCAAAACAAACCGAACAGGAATCAGTATTTAACAAGAGTTCATGAAAACCGAACTTCAGAATTAAAAACATAAACACACAGTCCAAAACAACAACAACAAACAACAACAACAACAACACAATCAGCAGCTCTGAATTCTCCAGGAATCCTGTACTGAGCTCAAAGATGGTAAAAGGCCTAAATTCTCCAGAACTCCTTTAATGCACGTCAGGAACGAGCACATCGTCAGAAACCAAGCACGGTACCGGGTTCTGACATCTCCAGAACTCTGGAGAATAATCCCACTGACAGGAGGAAGGTCTCAGTTCTCCAGACATCCTGGAAACTTCTAGGACAGAACGTGGCCTTCAGCTCTGGATGTGTGAAGATAGATGTGAACCCGTGGGTCTGATGAAACTTTCATATTTTGGAGGTTTTCGAGTGAAGCCGTCGCCAACAAAGCAAACCTTCGTGTCCACCAGTGATCCCATCGATGGAGCTCAGAGTCAGAAGTTCTACACGTCAAGAATAATCAGATCAACAAAGTCCACAATAAGAAGTTCTAACGAGGTCAGAGAAGTTCCAGGACTGGTGTCACAAAAGATTTCAAATCCAAACTACCAGTGTTCTCCTTCCCAGTAACCCTCCTGGAGTCCACCACCCTCCTCCAGCCTTCTCTTCACGCCGCCATGCTCTCCTGGAAGGATTCTCCAGGATCCTCTCAGCTCCGTCCTCACAGCCATCTTGATGTCGTCCACGTCTTCTAAACAGTTCCCCTTGATGAGCCCTTGAGCTTGGGGAGGAGGAACCAACCCCACAGAGCCAGGTGGGGTGAGTAGGGAGGAGATGTTCTTCTCAGTAGGAGCTGTGGGATGCTCAGGGCGCTGTGAGCAGGTTGTCATGGTGACGCAGCCTCCACTGGTCCTGACACAACTCTGCCTCTTCTGGACGAATCAAACGCTGCAGGACCTCTGTAGACGAGCTGGTTGATGGTCTGAAGGAGAAACTCCTGGTTTGGGTTTGAGATACATCTTTAGTGACACCAGTCCTGGAACCTTTCTGACCCACCTCGAAGTTCTCCAGAACTCCGATCACGGAGTTGTGTGTGAACAGAACCTCACGTCTCGCACATGTTGTGTTTCATTTCTGATCTTCATGGACAGATGAACTTGGGGTTCGGGTGCGCGGCACGTACAGAACCAACAAAAGTGTGGCTTGGTGCTTTAAAAAACGTCTTCCACTCTGTTCGTTGTGCATTTCATCATCCTGCTTCTGCTTCTGTTCGTGCAGGAGTCGGACCAGTGCCGGAGCCTTTTCTCTGCACACGGCGTGTTTGAGCTGCTGTGAAGACGGATCAGTACCGCTATCATTCATCTGGTCCAGTAGAAGCACGTCCCTGTGCTGCAGCGAGGCAGCGAGGCCCACCGGGCCAGCTGACCAGAACACGGCGGGAAGCTTTGAAACGACCCACGTGTCAGAGTCTTATCTCACAAACGTGAGGCCATGAATATAAAACCAACCGACACAATGCAGCAGATAATAACGACAGCAGGCTGCATCAGAGCAGCTCAGAACATCAGCTCCTACAGAACCCGACGGTGGTACCGGCCCCTTAAACTACCAGTGTTTGGACACAAGGCAGCATGTTGGTGGAATGAAGTGTTAAAACTACAAATACTGGGACAGAAAGTAAGAATTCAGTTGGAATAAACCAGAACATGTTTTGGATGGAATGAACCTTTAAAACCAGAAGCACTTGGACAGGAAGTAGTATTTAAGGTGGAATGAACCTAAAACCTTCAACCTAGAAACAAACTGGATCTGGAGGTCGCGTCCACGCTCGGTTTACACCTGGACAGGTGGAGCTTCCTGTCGATACCACCGACCAACACAAAGAGCAGCTCAGAGTGGTGCAGCTAGACCGACCAGAACCAGCACGTCTGTCCATGACCTGTTGGACCGTCACACTGAGCCTAAAGCGACTCGCTGAAGTAGCAGCAGACTCTGTAACACTCGTTTCTGTCCAAGTGTGTCTGTCAACCCAAAACAGAACCGGCTGATAAACAAGTTGTGGTTTGAAGGTTTATTCCACTGAGAATCAATGTTTGTCATCTTAAAGGTCGATTCCATCTTAAACTCTCCCTTCTGTCCAAGTGCTGGTGGTTTTAAAGGCTTATCCAAAAACACACGGTCTACTTTGAGAGATAACCAGTAGCTGAACGGCTGCAGCTTGTAAAACCGTAATAAATAAATCCTGTTCAAGAGTCCAGACGACCACACGTCACTGTAAACAGAGACGATGAGGAGATGCGACTGAAACGGCATCTTGTCCTGTGTGTGGTCAGTTTTCTCCTCCTTAATGTCTAATTATTGGTTAAAAGCCACAAACAGCAACAGATTTATTCTCCTGCTGCAGGTTCATTTCCTCATTTTCAGCCTTCAGCTTACTTTAGTAGGTTTTCTACAGCTTTGATCAGCTCTGATGAACGTGTTGAGGAGGAGGAGGAGGAGGAGGAGGAGGAGGAGGAGGAGGAGGAGGAGGAGGAGGAGGAGGAGGAGGAGGAGGAGGAGGAGGAGGAGGAGGAGGAGGAGGAGGAGGAGGAGGAGGAATGCTCCTTTAAGGGTTACTGGATGAATGGCTGGACTAGAAGTGGTCCATTGAGCCCACCCTGCCCCCCAGCGCAGCATCACAATGAGGACCATCCCCCCACATTAGCACACGTTAGCGCTGGTCCGGCCCCCGAGGCGGCCGCTCTGGGGGGGTTCCAACTATTTAAACAGATTCCAGCAGATGGTCGAGGAACTTTCCTCCCGACTCCCCGTCCCTCCCCACAGACACTCTGCTGGAGCTAGAAGAAGCTCTGCTGCGACCTCCAGACGCTGTGGGACCAGAGCTCCAGACAGAACCATGCCCTCCGACTTTCTAACGCCTTTCCTGGAGCTGGACGAGGAGTTCTGCAAGGTGAGAACAAGCAGAGAACGTCTGAAGGTCTAAACGCTGCACTTTGACTGTTTGTAGCTCATTCAGGGATCATGAATCATTTCAATCAGCCTTCACAGGAAGAAAAGTTTGTTCAAGGAGTCACTAAAGTGCAGGATCAGTTTGTTTTAATGCAGCCGGACGCCTCGTCTCACTAGAAGCTCCAGTTTCTAGTTCATTCAATGATTTCAGATCTTTTGCAGCTCAGATGTTTGCAGCTGATTCTTGTCTCAAGTTTTCTACAACAAAGATCAATTTAAAGAAAGTTTGTTTTAAGATTCTCAAAAGCAGAACCAAACTGGTCTCAGAAGTTCTACCAGAAAACAAACTCATTTCAACCCAAGCTGCTTTTCTTTGTGTTTCTAATTCATTCATTTTTATTTTCAACACAAACTCTTTTACGTTTTGTGTCTGAGTCCAAGTTTAGAGAAAGTTTGTTTTAACAGGATTTCCTTCAATCTAAAAGATGAGCTGAGCGAGTAAAACAAAGTCACAAGAAGCTAAAAACCTCCCGTCGGGACCGGAGCTGTTCTGTCTGAGCTGAAACGAAGCCAAAACGTTCAGTTTGTAGTTTTTGTTGCTGAGTTTTGTTCACGTGTGTTTTCCTAAAAGAGGAAAAGCTTTTCTTTAGACGTCTGACTCGTCTGTGGGTTTGAAGCTCTTGTTGTTGCAGCTCTGATGTTTAGAAAGTCTTTAAACACATCGAACGCTGAGGAACACTTTGTGTTAAAGTTACAAACCGAATGTTGGAGCTCCAGAAAAACGGTTTCCTTCGTATTTCAGATTCAGCTCCAACGTTCAGTTTAAAGCTTTAGTGAGAAAAGTTCACAGCAGCTCTGAACGTTTCCTTCAGCCGTCAGCTTGAAGCTGCTTCTCGCTGTTTCAGAGCAGCAGGTGTTTGGATCGTTTCTCAGAACCTGAACGTACTGAACCATGAAGAGCAGCTCTGGACCTCCAGCTGCTGGTTCTGCCTCCAAAGCTCACGTCTCTTCTTCTTCTCTGCTTTTGTTCTCAGAGTTTCCGCGGTTTGGAGGCGACTGATGCTTCATCCAGCAGCTCTCAGCGGCAGCGAGTTCTGGGCTTCCAGCGCCGCCACTCGCTCTGCCCCGTCACGCTGCCCAACTCCAAGTTCAACAGCGCCGAGCCGGGCTGCTGGGGGCTCAACATGGCCGCCAGCCCGCCGTGGAGCCGCGAGGGCCAGCTGAGCTCGTCGCTGAGCCACATCCCCTTCAGGGTCGACCGCTCGGTCAGCATGATCGAAGGCGTCCGGGAGGACAAGATGGCCGACGTGTCCCCGCCGCCGCTGCTGCTGCCTCCACCGGGCCTCAGCATCAGCAGCTCCTCTCTGTCCGCCGCCGCCAGACCACCACCGCCGCCGCCGCCACACATCTCCACCCGCTACAAGACCGAGCTGTGCCGGACCTTCGAGGAGAGCGGCGCCTGTAAGTACGGCGCCAAGTGTCAGTTCGCTCACGGCCTGGACGAGCTGCGAGGCCTCAGCCGACACCCCAAGTACAAGACGGAGCGCTGCCGCACCTTCCACACCATCGGCTTCTGCCCGTACGGCGCCCGCTGCCACTTCATCCACAACGCCGACGAGCTCAACGCCGCCGCCGCCGCCGCCGCCGCCGCCGCCGGGCCTCAGAGGCCGAAGCTGAGGCCTCCTCTGCTCCGCCACAGCTTCAGCTTTGCCGGCTTCTCTTCGTCTCCTCAGACTTTCCAGCCGCTGGACGAGCCTTCGTCCCTGCTCTTCGCCCGGGCCTCCTCCGTCTCGCCTCCACCGTCCTCCTCGGGGAGTCCGGAGCTCCTCTCTCCTCTGTTTCCAGAACCGGGGGCCCTGAAGCACTGCTCCTACCCCTTCTCCGGTATCAGCGACCTGGCGGGCGACAGCAGCGATTCTCTTCGGTTCTACGCTGCGACCGACTCGCTCAGCAGCAGGTGTCCGAGCTCCAAACAGCAGAACCTCCAGTACCTGCCGCCCCAGCTGCCGAGCGGCCGGCCGGGCCTCCAGCGCTGCTCCTCGGCCGACTCGCTGTCCGAGGAGGGCTACACGTCCTCCTGCTCGCTCAGCTCGGCCTCCAGCGGCACCGAGTCGCCGAGCTTCGAGGGCCGCCGGCTGCCCATCTTCAGCCGCCTGTCGGTGTCAGACGAGTAGGAGGTTCTACTGCAGACTGGACTCGCTCAGGAACAGACTGCTGTAACTCTGGACCCGGTGCTGCCCGGTCCAGAGGGGTAGAACTCCAGCTGTTCTGCTCCCTCCTGAGTCCAGCCCAGTAAATATCTTTGTGCATATTGCATTTCTCATCCAAGCAGCTGTAGCGCTGCTCAGTGTTCGTCCAGTTTTAGCCGACTTTTGGTTCTGTTGTGTTTCTAAGTTTGTTCTGTGATGTTACTGCTGTATACTGTTGTATACCCGTTTATAGAGAACATGTGCAGCCCGGCGTTGGTTCTGATGCCGGTTCTGGAGTTCTGTGTGAGAACTGTCTGCACCCTGGAGAAGAGGAAGGATTTGAACTGTTTGTGCTGCTTTATTTATCATCCAGATCCTGTTGATCCAACCGGACTTCTCTGTCGGGTTCTGGAAGACGTTTCACCTCCAGAACCCGACAGAAGTCCAGTTCAAGAACTTAACAAGAACCTAACGTAGAAGCTCCAGCAGGTTACGTTCTGCAGCCGTCAGCACTTCTCACATTCAGGGTTGAATAACTGTCTCTGATTGATTGATTGATTGATTGATTGATTGATTGATTGATTGATTGATTGATTGATTGATTGATTGATTGGCTGTGGCCACTTGATTGTATTTGTTTTTACTGCACCAGTGTAGAGAACCCACTGACTCTAGCTACCAAAGTTCTTGCTAACCTGCTAGTTACCGTTAGCGTAGCCACGACTGCTAACATGCCGATCCTTGTGATTATAGATTAACGCGTTAGTTTTAGATTTATTTATTGCCTTTCGCTGGTTCTGTCAGTTTGCTTCGTGACTGTTTTATGCATTTTTCTGTGATGCCGGAGAAATTGTGAGGCTTTATTATGCATCCGGCCGCTCGGTAGCTTTACGGCGGCCCGCTGGAGAGGAGAGGACAGGAGGAGGTAGAAACTTTGGCATTCTGTATTCATGTTGCCTTACTGGCTAAAGGCCTGCAGGAATCAGGACTCTCCTCTCCGGGACGCCTCGGCCTCCTCACCCCACTGACCTCAGCAGCTCTGGAGCTACTCAACCAACAAGAAGAACGAACTCTGTCGTAAAGTCTGCGTTTTGTTTCACGTGCGATCAGGTCGAAGCTGTTTGATGTTTCCGTCGGAGTCGCCTCCGACTCTGTTGCACGCTAGCTAGCTAGCTAACACTGAAATCACTCGACTGAAATCAGGCGAAACTTTGACTGTTTCTTTATTTTTGGTCCTGAAGATCTCGTCGACATTTTTTTTGTAACTGTTGTTAACTTAAAGTCTTATTTATTTTGGGGTTTTTTAAAGCAGAACCTATATTGTGTTGTTTGGTGTGTTTTTCTTGTTTCACATAATTTAAGTGCATCTATTGTTTACATTCCAGGTTATGTTCATATCTTAGCTCTTTATCTTAATATATGTCCATCTTTATTTCCAAATAAAGGTCTTTGAAAACAGCTCAGACTGGACTCGCTTTGTGTCATTTTGTTGTTGAGCAGCTTTAAGCTACGGGTTCCTGCAGGTTCTCCGTGATGCAGCAGGTCATGATGGTCCAACATGGTCCAGCAGAACGCAGCCAGTCTTCTGTTTTGGTTCTTCAAATATCAAAAGTTAACGTTGTCCTTTGTTCTATGAGGTTTACAGGCTGCTTGAATGAAGTGACGTGAGACATAATCGACCCAATTCACAGGAAAATATCTGAAAATCCCAAACACCCCAGATTCAGCCCACAGTGCTGAAACATGCCTGATTTAATCCTAAATGATGGTAGAACAACGTCCAGCTAACTTCTACTGCAGCATTTAAACCTAAAATATTTCATTCTAGATGCTGCAGTCGAGCTTCACGAGACTTTTGGTTCTTGAAAAAAAACTGCATTTAGGATGAAATCAGGTTTTAAGAGATGTTAGAAAGTTAACTGGACTTGTGTGTTTTTTGGTGTTTTAAGAACAAAAGTGAAGCCGAGCTAATGTCTGTGGATTAAATCCCAGATGTTTTAGGTTTCAACGTGTTTTTAACTCAAACAAACCTGAAGGATGCTGAGCAGCAGCTTAAGATTATTGTTCATGTCTTTCATGCAAACAAACTGCTTCAGCGTGCGTGTGCAGTAGATGCTGCTTCATCATCTCGTTCTTCAGCTCTTCTTTATCCTCCACGTTGTGCCGCCTCATAAGAGGAGCAGCAGGATCACCAGGAACCCGGCTGCTGGAGCCTTTCTGTGGAGCGTCTTTGTGAGAACGTGAGCTCCAGAAGGTCGTAGCGGAGCAGCTAAAGTCTGATTCCCACGAGCTCCACCTCAGAGCTCCGTCTCCAGCTTCTTTACGATCATCTGCGGCGCTCCGACACACAAAAGGAACAAAGATGAAGGCCCTCCTCCTCCTCCTCCTCCTCCTCCCTGTGTGGCTGGTTGTGTCGTCTCCACACACCAGTCTGGATGAGTGACACTGAGGAGAATGTTTGGGCAACAGATGCTGGAACAAAGCCTCGGCGCCACACAATGGAGCTGTGAGATACTTGTGACTGATTTCCATCTATTCACACAAAGTGGAGCAGAAGTTGAGGTCCTCCCTGAGTGTGTGTGTGTGTGTGTGTGTGTGTGTGTGTGTGTGTGTGTGTTGAAGCTTGAAATGCTCCCACTGCAGTAAAGTCACAACACTGGAGCTGAACCAGCACAAAGCCTGTGTGTGTTCTGACCCGGTTTGTCTGTTTTTAGTGTGAAGTGAGTTCAGATGATCAGAACACAGTGAAAGCTGCTCCACAGCTTCATCGTCTGTTACATTCACCAGCAGGAACACACACCACAAAGCTCTCCAGCTCGTCAAAGGTGTTTTTAATTCACATTCATCAGTCAGTGGTGCCTTCAACACAAGCCTGTTTGGTTCCAATCAGAACTTTTAACAGGAAAATGTGCTTAATGTGTATTTAATGGCTATAAATATGAAGAGAAGTGTTTTCAGGTGACATACGTTAAAGCTGCTTCACTGTTCTGTGACATTTAGTTTAGTTTAAGTAAAACTTCTGTTTACCACCAAACAACCAGAACGCTTCATTTTAATCAACAAACTGCAACAAACAGCTCACAAGTTTTCAAGTTAATTACTCGTGAAAAAAAAAATAAAAAAGCAAGTTGTTCACGTTCGAATTTTCTTAAAGGTAAAATGAAAACGAGCTGTGAAGCTGACGAACATTTAAACATCAAGCTGCTGCCATCGGGTCTGAACGGAGACGTCAGAGTGTTCCTGAGAGTTTAACTCAAACACAACATTAAACTGGAAGTAGTTCTGAGTTTGATCTGAATCTGCAGATTAAGTGTTCATCACTGATGCTGTGTGTGTGTGTGTGTGTGTGTGTGTGTGTGTGTGTGTGTGTGTGTG